CTATCACTAATCCTCCTCCATCCCATCATCCCATCCATCTCTTACTCCTCCCCATCCCATCCATCTCTTACTCCTCCCTCATCCCATCCATCTCTTACTCCTCCCCCATCCCATCTATCACTAACTCCTCCTCTATCCCATCATCCAATCCATCTCGTACTCCTCCCCCATCCCACCATCCCACCCAGCTATTATTCCTCCCCCATCCCATCCATCTTTGACTCTGCCCCCGTCCCACTTACAAATTAAACTGACAAAATATGGCATTACATGGCAGATATGGCATGGCCTACATGTATATCTCAGAACAAACAGATCCCAACTGTGTTGATCAGCCGTTCACCAATCAAGAGTGAATCAATGCAAACGCATGACAGGGTTGAGACACCAAAACACACCTACAGTTCTGTACACTGTACATGTACATGTATGTAGAAACCAGAACCAGTCGGAAAATCACCTGTAAAGTACAAATTAATAATAAGAATGGGGTGATAACTGTGGGGTTCGACGTGTGCTTCACTTCCAAGAAATAGACATCGGACCCCACAGTTCTGGGGGTAATGGGGTAGGTGACGCCGTACATGTACACTGTAAAGTTATAAGCAAATATGGAGCTTGTATCAAATCTTTTCACTATGTTCCCTTCTATTTTTTGGCTGGAGGGTAGCTGTGGGGCAAAGGATTAGAGGTGTAGTCCAGTAGACTGGCCCTAGTCTAGGGCTCACTGAGGAAAGAGTTCTGTATTACTTGACACCCTGTGCACAAATGCTATGAGACTGGTTTGAAAATTTTTGAAGTGTTTTCTAAGTACATGTACATACATGTACATGTATATACACATGTAAATGATTCACTTTTTGACTGCTACATGTACATGTAATTTTGGGGCAAGTTATCACTTTTTGATGGCTTATAAACCACTGCATGGGAAAAAAGCAATGTTCATACACTTGGAAGATCCTCTATGCATAGGCCATTGGCCTACATGTAGGCATGGAGGAAGGAAGCGGAAACAGTGGCACCCAATTTGTGGATGCCACCGTTTAGCATGTTGGGAATTGTATTTGCGAACCTCCCAGTTTTTGGTCATTTTAATCTTGTAAAACTGGTAAGCCCTCCTCCCCCCAAAAGGCAATGCTTTCTCTATTTCGCTGACTCTCTTTTTTTGACATTTGAATTATACATTGTGAGAAAACCACCATCGTGTGTCATGTTAAAACAAGAACAGGTCAGCTCGTACCGGTACATGTGCCAACTCGCACATTCGTATGCAGATTGGTCAACTCGTATGCTGACCAACTCATACACAAAGCCAACTCATACATTGACCAGGTCGTACACCAATCAACTTGTACTTGTACGTCACGTACATGTATACAAGATGCGGAATACACATGTATGTACTGATGTAGCGATCTCACAGACCAGACATGCCAGAAATCTATGTGACGTGATGGGTTCCTCAACCATAGTAAAGAGAACAGCATGACCTGAAAAAGTACACCTAAAATTTCTGCAACCCAAGTTCTACATGTATTTCCAGCTGCTGAGTATCCACCTTTCGGAAATCAAGAACCCCAGAACGCAAAGCCCAACAGCTCTTTCAGAGCATCACATTTTCAAAAGACATGCTGCATTGCAGAAAAGGCTCTTTTCATAGCAACATCCCCCCCTGAGAAATGTATTTTTGCTAGGAAATTAGTCAATCTGAAAAAAATAGTTAAAATACCATTAAAAAAACTCAAGAAAATAATTAACAAAAAGATTTGCCTAGATACATAAAACATTCTTCAAAATACCAGTTAAGTTTCTTTTTTTTGGTGGTCCGGGTCACCTGGGAAGAAAAGCTACATGTACCCGAAACTCCTGCATCAAATATACACGTACATGTTTGTACATGTATGTATGTATCTTTTGCAAGAAAATTACATTCAGAGTTTCAGATCAGAAAGCCGAACATACATGTACAGTATATTCTTACACTGTACATGTGGTTTGATTCTGAGTGTGTGAGTGAGTGAGTGTAATTCAATGTAGGCCTATATGTACATGTAGGGCACTGTAGGGAAATGTAATTACTGGTGTTTAGGCCTAACATCCATGATAGTACGTACATGTACATGTAGTGCTAGGTCCCTACATGTACATGTAATTTCGCAATACGTGTACATGTATGTCTGATTGGTTGTACAGTAAGTGGTGAAATGAGGGGCCTGGTGACTAGGATACCGTCATGCATGTTACATGTACATGTAGGTCTAGATTTCATGACACTGAATTCAAAGGATCAGCAGATTCTGGTATTATTAATTTACTACATGTAGAACCAGCATATAACTGAATAAAATAAAATTAACTGTATGAGGAGATTGAAGGGAAATATCGGTACATGGCCTAGGCTTACATGTGGTGGGGCGGAATGGGGAATTGTATCTTTGGGGACCTTGTTCCTATTACATGTTTTAACAGAAAGGAGAACAACAATTTAGCTTTTGAGTTTAGGCTAGGCTACCTGGGTAGATACACTGTAACTGTGACATCATGCTCAATAACTGTAGTCTGTACTGTGTAGGGTTGTTCAACTTAAGTCTTGATGTTGTCAAAAAAGTGCAGGGTTTTGGGTTTGAAATTGAGGGACAATATGAGGGAAAACTGAGTAGCTACTTTAACACATGACATTGGATTCAAATTTCATGAACTTGCATCTAGCTGGCATGGCTGGTTTGGTCAGTAAGAAAGTCACATTTTCTCACGATTTAAAACTTCCCCATAGGCCTAAATACGGTCAATATACAAAATGACAATCCCGTCCAAAATCGTAAACTTAGTAATTAGTAGAGCTTGGTCAGTGCAATAAAGAGAGTGTTGCCTTTGTTTTTTTCGGGAGACTTATCAGTTTTGCGAGATTAAAATGACAAAAAAATAGGGGCTCCCCAGCCAAGTAGGCCTATACAATGCCCGCGAACCATGACAACCGCCATCTTGGTGCACTGAGTGCAAGCGCAATAATATGTACATGTACATCATGTATGTATGTACTGTACATGTAGGCCAACGGACACACAAACATCATGACACAATCCCGGCCGAGACATGTAGCCTGGCCTACACTGCTCGGCTCATAATACAGAGTACAGTATAATTGTGTGGAGAATTTACTCTGACACTTTACCTCCTTTCTTGAACACTTCTTTGCAAATATTTTGTGAAGATCGTGAAAAATAACTAACTCGTAGAGGCCAACGACGTGATGTACATGTACGTATGAGACTACGTGAATGTACCGCGGTAGGACGTACACATGTGCAATGCACTGCGTCTAGTCGATCTAGTCGTTGATGAACTTAATTCGAATTTAGCGCGATAACTGAGTGAGGGCGCTGTTCTGTCTAAAGCCGCCCATTTTTGGTTCTAAAGTTCGTGAATGCGATACGCCGGATGTGTGTCTGTGGTTGAATAATAATTGTGTTGACTGCAGAAGATAAAAACTGGCAAAATGTGACCCCCCAAAAAAACAGACTAACTGATCGGCAGAGCAGTATTAAAAAAATTTAATACTTTTTTTTTTCAAGATGTACTTTGCATTGGGGAGATGTTACGAGTTTGGCCCTTTATGCCCAACGTACATGCATCCGACAACACTATAATATACATGTACTCAGTGCCTGTCTGAAAGCTTGCGAAAAAATTACGTTCACAAGCTTACTCGGGTGGGACTCGAACCCACGACCTCCTGCTTACAAGCTTGCCGGGGTTGGCCGGGCCGGTCCGGTCCGATTGTATAGCAGCAAGTACTGCCGCTTTAATTTAAAGGGCAAAACCCGTAATTAAAATTAAACTGTGGAGAAATAAACAGTCATCGAGCAATTGTCTCACAGACAGTAGATGGAGTTTGTACAGATCACTTAATTCAAGATATTCAAGGTTACATACACTATTGTTCAACTTCTTGTACTTCATGAAAAATAGGCCAGAATCGATGTTGGGCTCTTTCAATCCTAGTGGCCTCAGGCTATTATAATGAGATAAGAATTAAACGTGATCGTGCATTCGTTCACGATGTGGTCTCACAACGGTACACTTCTAGCGTCCGAAGGATTGATTGAAAATTACGCCAAATTATACCTGACATTCGATAGCTAGCCTTTTTGATAATCGTTAAAAACAAAACTAAGCAGTTGAAATAAAATCTCCAAGATCCTTGTAAACCGTAACCTGATTAAGAACATTATTGCTAAAGTGGTTTGTAAAACTAACTGGCTTTCGTTTAGGACTACGGGTATATTTAAAAGAGTCAGTGAGATGTACTTCCTAGTACGGTGTTGATAAATAATGGCTAGGCTCGGAGACCAGGAGTGGAACTTACAGTAAATCTTGCTGTATGCAAGCAAGCAGTATCAAAACCTCAGCCTTTCTTCTCTTTTTTTTAGGTCATCAGCAAATATTAAACAACCGCTACTTAAATGGTGTGGTATGTCATTAATAAGTTAAAAACACCGTGGGACTTCCAGATAAGGAACAAATCCCATGAGGAGTATGCGTCTACAACTATACTCTGAGTTTCCTGCTAGATAAATAACTGCGTATAGCAATAACAAAAGAAAGTCGTGGGAAACACTGAAGCCTTTGAGAAGTCTGTGTATAGGCCTACAACATTCAACTATCCACCTGTCCTCAATGCACTTTCTGTAATCAATCAATGTATCTTAAAGATACAATTTCATGTTGATCTATCTTTTGCTCTTCCAGACACAGACTGAGTGATTTTTTTCCCACGTTCTTACCAGTACTGAATTTGCTGTATGCCGCTATGTTGTCATGTATATGCGCGTTCAACTATGGCACAGAGTTGCAAATGAAATGTATTTTACTATGCCTTTCTGAGAATCAGTGAACGTGGCGTAATTGTATGTGCTCACCCTTGGTATTACATGTTTTACGTGTAAAAGTCCTATTGTCACGTTGTTGTTTTTGTTTTAATGGCGCTTTCAGCAACTCGGGCTATTTACGCCAATAACTGTACGTTTATTCACTTTATTAATCAGCATCACATTACGGAGTTAGGAAGAAGGTCCCGTTTTAGAGGCAGGAGGAAACCGGAGTACCCGGAGAAAACCTGCGAGTATGGACTGGAAACCAAATGCACTTAAAGCATGGGCCAAGCCAGGACTAGAAGTATAGGCCTCATTGGTGCAAAGCGAGGAAAGAACCGCTACGCTAACCCGCCCCCCTAATTGTCACTTATTGAACCTTGACATATGAACTTCATGTTGAAACTTTTTTTTACAGTGGTTTAATGAAATCTAGTGTTTATACATAAGTTGTGACATTTTACAATGAGTTTAATTTCAGTAGTTAACACTTGTAATGACCGTTGATTATTACTGGCCTATATGGAGTTGTAGGCCCAACTAAAGTGAATAATTATTACAACAGACTACACGTTTAACATGACTTGAACTCTGACTTGTCAAGAAGATGACTGAACTTCGCAGTGCGTAATCCTAAGAGTTAAGCATGACAAGTAATCAACCGTGGCAACAATGTGTTTTGAAAACGCAACTTGGTTTTTACTTATCCTCGTATGCATTAGAATCAATACATTATCAAGAATAACTTTTCAACTTTTTGGTGTTGGCGATTTATATTCAGTTAAATTTCAAAAGTGAATGTAGAAGCTGACATGACGTGTACAAAACATTGACCCTCGTTTAAGCATGCACGGCCGCTGCTTGTAGGCCTACATGAACGTTCTGGATAAAAATAGTTCTTACTCAAAATGTTTCAACTGAAAGTAAACGGCCTTCGTAACAGACATTCAACATTGACATGACTGCAATTAAAAATTAGTTTCACAACACTGCTGTAAAATACGAGCATTTATGTCATTTAAAAAGTCTATATGGATTGTCCCTGACTTGGAAACTTTGACATTATTCAATGATGTACATGAAATCCAACATTTACATGAAATTATCAATTTTACGAAGCAATCGTTCTATGCTAGTGGACTGTCATGTTGCTTTTTAGATAAAATGAACTGAAAGACTTAAAAGATGCATTATTTTGGTGTGTAATTAAGTTAAATGTCCGCATATATGAGGCAGGTAACCAAAGATACATAGTTTTGCGGTGAGATGTATAAAAAAGCTCTTGACTCTTGAGGTAGGAAAGGAGGATACATTGTTTTCCCCTGTGCTCTGCATTAAACCAAATAAATAGCAGAACGATTAATCTTTCTAAAATGAATTTAACATCTTATAACTGTTCATGTAAAGAAATGAATTTTTTCACACTTCCAGAAAATACACCTCATTGCGGCTGTGAAATGTCAACAAGATTGCGCTCATAATTCAAAATGGGAACCGCCTAAGGTTTTAAGTTGTTTTTCTCAAAATGGTCATTTTCAAGTTATATCGTTTTCCCATGAGAGGGCTGGCTTTAAGTTCATGGACCATCAGATGGGACTTCACTGGCATGGCATGTGCTGACCTTGAACGTGGACATTTCATTTACACAAAGCTGCATGTGTAGACTTTTAGTTTAAAAATATACTTTGCTTGAAAGGCATTGTTTGAAGTAGCTTTCGTAATAAAGATCAGCAGTGGGATTTATTTTTCGCGCTCGCCTCTGTAATTTTACAATGTATACTTGTACTTTTTAAAATAAAGAGTTGGCCTACAGTAAGGGGCAGTCAGGCTATGCCTCATGTAATTCTGAAAAAACATGGATTTGTCATAAATTCTTTCTCAGAATATCATCGCGTCCATAATACGCGTACAGAAAATTGGCGAAGTTGGAGGTCATTCCACTAGTTTCAGAGATCGTGGCTTTGCCGATGTTTACATTCTCCAGAAAGTTTACTCTGGAAACAGCTGACATGATTAATGGTAAGTCAGCAGTCTTATGACAAGAAGTAGACTGACATCAAGATCCACTGCATACAGGATGATCAGATACAACACCGTACCGCACGCAGCCCCATGCATCTTTTTGCAACGAGTTGAAATGCACGCAATATTAAAGCGGTGTTTTTTCCAGCTCTGGCCGAGTCCTCAGATTGTCAAGTCCTCATTAATCGACCGACTGCAAGTTCGTGAGTCCCAGCTCTCCAAGTTATGGAATTCCATATCTGTCGTCGTGCGTCGTCCGTCGTGCGTCGCCCGTGATTTTTTTTTGTCACGATTGCGCAGTGGTATTTTTAACTTTGACCCTTGATCATTTCACATGTTCAGGTCCTTGTTCGATTGATGATCCACCATGCCTGATTCTCATTTTAGCAATAGAACTAGAAGATGTACATGTATTCGTTTTTGCAGTTACGCCGAACTCCACGTAAAAGAAGAAATAATACCCTGACACCGGTTAAGTAACGTGTATATGAAATAATACCATTTTTGTTACATAAATAAATTAACAAAATAGACTTTTGTTAGGGTAGATTGTTTTTCTTGATAACTTAGTTACTCTAGACGTACGTAACTTTACTCGTTAACAGCCTGACTTTAGGTCTTATAGCCTATTAATATTTCTGTCTGTCCCTGCACGATATCCCACTGAACCGAATGTAAATAATAGATTATTTACAATGTTTCATTCCTTAATAGTTTTCACAAGAGACGAACTGATTCAACATTATTTTGAGGGCGGGTATATACCTATGATGAAATCTGCTGTATATTCCAAATTAGACATGACTTTAGTTGCGGGTTGGCTCACAGAAGTCTTTCAAGCAGTAACGTTACTTGTTAGCCCCATAAATAATGTTGATGCGCTGGACCACCTGTTTTCATTGGTCTATCCACCATGGCATACACACCCACAAAAAACAACACGTCATATTTTCTGAAACTTAAACCAAGTGGTATTTGCCCCTAACAATACATTTAATAAACAGTTAAGTTATCCACAGCACGTCTAGAATTTCTGGATTTCAAGGTGAAATTGAGAGGACAAGATGGAATATCTGTATCGGTTGGCAGATTTCTTCCTAGAATCAGGAAACAAGTCGGCACATTTTTACAGTATGCAAATTAGAA